AGACGTGAAAAATGAGCAGTGCCTTTGCCGAAAAAAAAAAAAAAAAAAAAAAAAAAAAAAAAAAAAAAAAAAAAAAAAAAAAAAAAAAAAAAAAAAAAAAAAAAAAAAAAAAACAAAAAAAAAAAAAACAAAAAACAACTCGAACCTAGAGCTCTAGAATAAGGGTCGAGTGTGCTACCGTTACACGACGAAGGTATGCTGGAAGGAGGGTGAAAATATCCCTTTTAAGGGGCAACTGGGGATTAGGAGACCCAACCACCAAATCCTTGTGGTGACGAATTATCCACCCCCTCTTTTTTGGTTCGGGCACCACTGTAGAGTCATTAGGTTATCTTTTGATGCGGGAGACGTGAAAAGTGTATAATGCTCTTGCCGATACTCTAACTTGGACCTCTCTAATACACTCCGAGTGGGCTACCATTACACCAAAGGCATGCAGAAAGGAAGGAGAAAATAGCTTATATACTCCCCCTTTTGAGGGTGACCCTCAAATCATTATTAATCATTATTATGAGCCTAATAATGATTTTTTACAACATAACAGGAAAAATTAACTTACAGTCACATAATTGTCTGAAGTTAAGAGCAATACGTACAGTATTTCAAAAGTTCAGTCCTGTAATGACTGAAAGAAATTTTGCATCGTTGATGAGTGCCATTTCTTCGTTGTCAAGTCTCGCCATCTTCGCAGCATCACTGTGTCGATTCCAGTAGCTTCTTCTTGTTGCTCAACATATTTAATTGCAATTTCTAGAACCATAAGTCCGTCGTTATGCGAAATTCTGTGAGGCTTAACAGTTGGTGCTTGATTTTGATTTTCAATTTCATTTTCACCGCAACTGATAATAGCGACAGTTTCTTCATCACTTACTTCATATTGATCATCTCCTTCATCCAACCTTCTTTTAATGCACATTCCATAATTCCTAGGATCCTATCAGCTAGCTTCTGCATTGTCTTTTCCTTGTCCAGTCTCTTAATTGCTTCAAGTGTTTGTTCCATCTACTAAGATGTTTTTCTTTTTGTCAAAATTATTTTTATACTTGCGTAATTTTCAACTTTTAAACACCACAACAATGTTTGCCAAATTAGAAACACCACACACACAAGGAACAATAACAGACCACAAACCGATCCACATACAATGAGAAACTGCACTGCACTAAATAACAGACTAGTTTATTATGACAAAGCACTTGAAGGCTATTTGCCTAAGGAGAGGGATGCATGAAGGATTTTCTAAAGGGGACTGGTTCATATATTCAAATGAGGAAAACCATGAAAACGGCCATACAGCCAGCCCTTTCACCAGGTTTCGAATCCCAAACAGAACTCTCACTGAATAAAAAAAGCATGAGTCATAGCATAGACAGATGTTCCACGGGATAGAGCTGGGAGCAAACAAAAAAAAAAAAGAGAGAGATTAAATTTAATTTTTGTTAAGTAACATTATTTCATTCCTTGAACTTCCATCCAAAGATTTTAAATGTTTTTTAGTTCAGATCTGGATGCTACTTAAAAGTTCTCCACAGTTTTATATTGTGTATTCCTAGTAAAAATAAAACTATTTTTCAAGAAATAAATTTTTTTTTATTTTGTTAAAACTACAAAATCAGATTTCTTAGCAAAATAAGAATCATTTATAAAAATTTTTTGGCATTTTTTATTATTTTTTATTGATTTATTTTAATCTCCTTCAGTAGAAAGCAAGACACTTTTCGATTCCGACTACTTAATGCCGATAGGAGGCTCAGAATATGATGTCAGGCTCATGAAGCTATGGATCCTGTATGCCAGGTTGGAACTGTATAAGGGCATTATGGCTCAATCATTGTCTGGGGTGTTTTTTAATGGCACTGTTTGGGATCTTTGGTGCGTGTACCAACCTCCATGCAATTCGGTACATACAGTTGCTGGGTGATCACCTCCAACCATTTATACTGTTCTGTTATCCGCGTACCTCTCACAAGTTCCGTTTGGCTACTGGCTGGTTGGATTAGCATTCCTGACTTTTCTGTCATAAATTGGCCACCTGGAAGCCCAGACTTAAATCCTATTGAACATCTTTGGGATGTTTTGGAACAAGGTGTGAAAGGCCATCACACAGCACCAACAAACCTTACTGAATTATGGACAGCTTTAGCCAATATTTGGCAAGCCATTCCCGTGGAACATTTCTAGAAACTTGTTGAATCTATGCCTCGTTGTGTGGCAGCCATTATCAAGGTCAAAGGAGGCCCAACTTGTTACTAGGTAGGTATCCCTAATTCAGTGGCACCTCAATGTATTACAGTGAAAAATAAAAATGTTTTATTTTAATGCTGTTTCTTAAATATAATTTCAATACACTACCATTATTTTGATGAAATATATCAATGTCATAATGTTTAAAAAAAAATCGTCGAAAATTCCCAGGTCTCCGAATTAAAAATTTTCTAGAGAAAATTATCTTAAAATCGCCAAATTTAGAATCATTTAATAAAAGAATTCACATCCCCCAAAGCGAAAAGTTGTTCAAGAGTTCTTCATTAAAAAAATGAAATAATTTCAAAAAGCTTATGTTTCACTATATTACAATTATTTTGATCAAATTTATTAATATTATAACGTTCTAAAAAATTCACAAATTTCGGAATTAAAAATTTTCTTTAAAATTGATCTTAAAATTACCTAAATATTGATAAGTCATCAAATTTAGAACCGTTTAATAAACGAATTTATATCCCCAAAAGTGAAAAGCTCTTTAAGAGCTTTAATATTATAATGTTCTGAAAAAAAAAGAAAAAAAAAACGGAAAAAATTCGCAAATTGCATAATTAAAAATTTTCTATAGAAATTGATCTTCAAATCGCCAAAAATGTTGATAAGTCACTAAATTTAGAATCGCTTAATAAAAGAATTTACATCCACAAAACTGAAAAGTTGTTCAAGAGCTCTTCATTTGAAAAAAAAATTAAATAATTTCGAAATGCTTCTCTTTTATTTCTTACCCAGAAACTCGAATATTGCACTGTTTATATTAGAAACAGAAACAAATTACTGTATAAAGTCTTTAATCTGGAATAATCTATAATCCGGACCTCAAAGCTACAAACTTTCTGCGTATGCGTAAACGCATAATGCGTTTATGCATGCGCATAATACATTTGCGCATGTGCGTTTAATGTATAACGGATGGTATAAGCTAAGGCTAAAATTATCTAAATTATCTATTTCAGTTTTAATGTTGCAGATTTGCGTTATTCCTTCAATCTTCTAATTGGATTGGGCTTATTATTTTTTGCAGACTGTTAGAGCAATTTTATAAAAAGTAAGCTTGAACTTTCGATTGTGTCAAAAAGAGTTTCCAATTCTGGAGCTGCCAAAGGATCTACAGAGCAAAAGCATGTTTCAATGCACCGCTTCCAATAGTGAAGAAAGTGAAAGAGAGGTATTTGAAAACTAAAAAATTTCGATTGACAAGTTAGTCGGTATTCTCGACACAGCAATTACAGGACTTGAACAGTGGAACTGAACAAGAAATTATGTCTGTATTAGCACAAAAAACAAAGCAACTTAAACAACTTACATTGAAAGAAATGTTTAATGTTTAAAGAAATGCTTAATAAAGTAAACAAATAAATGTAAAAGTAGGCGGCCAGTGCAACTCTGATTAAAAATCCAGTTATAACCACGTGCAGTGCTGATAAGGACCACGTGTTTCTGTGACTCCTTCTCCTTTATTTTCTTCTTTCTAGATATTTCCTTCTCCTGATGAGGAGGGACCTTTAGCTGCCCTCGAAATCGATTGAGTGTTTCATTATACTTACGCTAAATACAAGGTTGTTTTTACGATTTTGATTAAACAAATAAATATATTAAGTTTTTTTTTTTTTTTTTTTTTTTGTACATTTTGATACATTTTAGATCATAATTGGTTTTTATTTCAGAAATTACGATTTTATATTTTTAATTTTATAATTTCTGCATGTCATCTTAAGATTTAAATTGACGATCTATAATACGGAAAAAACTCTATCTGGAATCGCCGAAGTCCCGACGAGTCCGGATTAAAGCCTTTGTACTGTATAACCCATGAACCCATTCAAAAGATAACCATATTTGTCAGTAAATCGCAGAAAATATTCCTCTAAAATGCTTATTCACACTCAAAATGGCTGTTGTAAAAACAGACATAAATTTCAGAACCTTTCACAATTTTGGGCGAAATTAAGGACTTTTAAAGACCAAAAACCGATTCCAAAAAACCTACGGACTCTTAAGGACCATGCAAACTTGGTAAGACAATTATTACTATTTTAGGTCTCTCAGAATTACAATGTCCAATCGGCATAGTGGTTAGGGAAGTCTGACTGCGTTACCGAAGGGCCTAGGTACGAATCCTGCTGCATGGTTGTAACTGTCCATCCCTTCATAGGAGGCAATGGTGGTCCACCTATTAGGTGCCTCCATAATAAAGAGACCACCACATCTGGCCTTAGTATAGATTAATGGACTCCGTTACAAAGCTGTAACTGTTCACAATCTGCCATTGGGGGGGGGAAGGTCCATCTCTGACCAATTAACTGTGAAATCTAAAAATTTAGGACATACAATTTTTAATCTTCAGCTACTTGAAGTTGAATACAATTCAAAGTGATATCATCGTATATATATTAAACCCTCAGATATGATGTATGTGGTTTCTTTATAGAATAAAACATACTTTTATCAGTAATAATTTCATTGCTACTAACACGTGGAAAACAAAAATGGACTGAAATGGTGATCAAAATGTAAGAATTTCCAAGAGAATGACATTACGAGCATTCAGTTGCATGGCATGCTCATTTCCACAACAGTTCATTGTCAAATAATTATCAAAACATATGATTCAGTGTATAGCCAACCTCTTTGTTAAACTTAAATTTATAAACAATATTTATATCTAAAATTACATTGTTGTAATATAATAAGGTATACTATAATGTTACACTCATATAAAATGCACAGAACAATGGTAAAATTCTATATATTTTTAATTAAATGTTTAAAGTTGCATGTCAATAAGCTTTTCACATGAACTGAATATATCAGCACTTAAAAGGGATTTAAACCATTTTGTAACATTTGCTGGCAAACTCTGAAACAAATTTGTCTGAATAATAGCACTCCATGTAATAATGTCAGCAAGAGATATACTGTCCCCAACCAGAAAATTAGATTTCCCCAGATGGGAATTCAGAGAACGTAGTGCTCCTTGTCTATCTTTATTGTTGCCATGGATTAATGATGAATGTGCGATTTCCAGCCAGTTGTCAATCTGAGTGGATACCACAGGATCATGTTCATAATTGAAAGAAAGCAGCCTAGAGATATACCTGAAAAGAAAAATTCTTCATTTTTCATGCTGTAAGCTTAATATTTATAACTAATGCATTAGAACCGAAAAATGTGACTAGTAGTGTAACAGTCTGATGTTGCAAACAAAGTTTTTAAATTAATATAATTTTTCAAATTGTAAATTTACAGGTGTCCCAAAAGTTACTTTACAATTTCAATGTCATGTAACTTGGATAGATTAATTGTAATTAAGATAGAGAAAAAAGTAAAGTCTGTCTGATGCACAAACTCAAAATTTTTTGTATATAAGGTAATGAATAAATGCTTTGCCTTTCCAAGTGACAAGGGCAACATAACTAAAAAAAGTTTTTCTTTGTTGTTGCAGGATGGTAAGAACACCATAAATGACATGAATAATGGAGTTTGAACAAGAAAAGACATAGTATGTGACTTGGTTTATCAAAACAAAGTTAACCCCTCCCCAAGTTCATAGAAATTTCAGAAAGCAATATGGAAAACCACTGCACTCTTGGTCTTCCATAAGAAAATGGCACAGGAACTTCATGGAAACAAGAATGTGGATTTGAAGCACTATATAGGCAGGCCAAGGAGAGGTGACAAAGATACAGCGAGAATTTGACAGATTTTTTTTTAGCATTAACCAAGTTCGTAAGGTGTCAACAACAAAAGAACTGTGAATCCCTTGTACGACAGTACACCGGGTACTCTCAAAACATCTTCATCTGTTTTTGTACAGACAGCAATTGTTACGGGGAATCAAACCAGATACAAAACCAAAACAAGCTGCATTTACTTGGGACATTAATGCACGTGTAGATAGGGATGAAGAATTTCTAATGCATGTTGCATTTGCAGATGAATCATCAACTTTTCATGTGTGTGTGAAAGTTAATAAATATAATGTATACATTTGGGGCTCGACCAATCCAAATGCTGTAAGGCAGTGATGCATTGTAGTCCCAAAGTTAATGTCTGGTGCTGCCTGTTAGTTGACAGCATTATAGGGTCATTCTTTTTTACCAAATGTTTCAAATTATTTTGACCTAATACCACAATTGTATACCCAGAAGCCTCGTGTTCTAGTCCAGCAAGATAGCACACCTCCACACTTAGCTTTACCAGTGAAATATTTCCAGGACTTTCCCAAAAGATTGATTGGAAGAGCTTGTCTGATTCCATAACATTACACTTCTTGACTTCTTTTTATAGAGTTATAAAATATCTTAGAATACCATACGCCTGTACATGATGTTGCTGATTTGAAGGCAAGAATAACGGCACGTATTGAGACAGATGACGTGTGAGAATGGGTTTGAACAGAACTAGGCTATTAATTAGATACTGCATGTGCCATAAAGGGAGCATACATAGAACTTGATTAAAGAACCATAAAAAAAAATGTCAAGTTGTTGCATCAGATAAACTTTACTTTTTTTCCTCTAAGTTAATTACAATTCGAGTTATATGATACTGAAGTTGTAAAGTACATTTGAGGACAATATATATAACAATATAGTATTTAATAGGCACTAAATATGTTTGAATCCCATCCTACCTATAAACGGTTATTTAAATTTTTATGCCCAAGATTAGAAATTCCAACAAATAAAATTTGGTCAGTAATGAACAAAATGCTAAGTGATGCTAAACTGATTAACAAATTTAGCAAAACTTTTACTTTTATGTAGTAATTTACAGAAAGAAAGGTATGCATTATCCCACTGATCAACTAAGTAGTGTGATTTTTTGCCAATAATGGATGACTGTATCCTTTAAAATTCTGCTGTAACAAATGGCAACCATGGACAAAATTTTCACCAATGATTGACAAGATAATATGGAAGTACCCCCCCCCCCCAAAAATTTAGCATGAATACTTCGTTCATGTTCAAGTTATACTTTTTTATAATCAATTTAACTAAACAGTAAATGTGCTTTCCTAATTTTTTTTAAACACGGTCTTATTTATTGGTATGTATAAAAAAAAGACACAGCTCCAAAAATATAGTTTAACATATAGCATGGTTATAAAAAATGTTACACAACTAAATTCCCTACTAAAAAAAAATCTACACAAAAAATTCACAGGCCCCTCCCCCAAAAAATGTGGAAACAGATATATTTATGAAATGCATCTAAATATGAATTTACAGAATGGAAGGTTAATTTAAGAAATGTGTTTTCTACTTAATTTTAACACTATTATTTGATTAATCATTATTACTTAATATTAAAATGCTATTCATATTTTCCTCTTTATAATAAAATTTGGTAATGATTACATTTTTACAAAGGAACTAAAATGCAAAACATAATATAAACATATATGCAAAAATTAGATAATAGATCAACTAAATTGATGTTGAAAATTAATACTGTTACTTTCTCACATATTCCCCCCCCCAGCTTTTTAGCACCCCCCGTTCTAAAAATTTCTAAACTATTTGTGTACTTCCACGTTCCTCAATGTGTTCAGAGACTGAGCTTCCCTAAATTTAAAATGGATTACTCCACGTAGTATAATTTTTGTTGTCACTAACAAAGAAAAAAAACTTGCAAACTAACTGCAAAAGTCACATCAAATCTTTCGTTCTTGACTGTAATCCTAATAAATGAATCAACCAATTACAGCAAAACAAATACAAAACTGGCATTCACCCTACTATTTTGAGTCAGCTGCATATTCACCTTCTCTAATCATTTATGCATGATCTGAGGCATATGGAATACTGAAATAACAGTTTTCATTTTTATGTTCTTAATGCAATCGAGTCCTTCGAAAATCGAAATTATTCGTAAAGTTTTCCCCTTTCGATTTTTGAACAATAAAATTAGTAAATGAAAAAGGGGAAACATATCTGAATAATACACAATTATTATTTTATCATTGTGATAAAAAGGCAAGTAAAAAAAATACCTACTTTCGTTTTACAATTTATTTACACAAAGAAAAGCGTTTAAGTCATGAAGCCACTCTTGCCCTGCTTCCAGCATGACAAAGTCTGTTGGAAACTGATGACCTAGAAAATCATCTTTGAGCAACTCAAAGAGATGAAAGTCACAAGGAGCAAAATCTGGGCTGTAGGAAGGGTGTTCCAGCATGTCAGGCACTATTACACAGTAACAACACGTTTATTCATCTTCCAAATCTATTGTGAATTTACTTCAGATACGTTTCCAACATTTCATTACATGTTGCACTGGATCATAGCCTCCTTTTCCATAAAGCATTATGACAATCATTTTTTGGAACACGAAACTATAGGCCCTTTTACACTTCAAAAAGTGGTTAGCATAACCTTTTCAGTGATGGTACAGTCTTGAACTTTTTTGCCTCAAATCACGGGTGTTTTTACTCTGGCATTTTGTTTCTGGCTCATAATGATGAATTCACGTTTTATCGCCAGTGATTATTCTGCTGAAAATCGTGTTGTCTTCCTTGTTGAAACAATTGAATAACCATTGACAGATGTCAATACATGAGTGTGCATTCTGCAGTAATTTGTCTTGGTACCAAATACACACTGACTTTACAGAAGCCAAGCTTGTCATGGATGATTTCATGGGCAGAACTATGATTGATGTTCAAAAAATATTAGGAAAATTTTCTCACTAGTGTTAATTCACATATTCACCAAAACGATTCTGGTGAATTCTTTTGAGCTTGTTCAATCTTGTATGTGGAGGAGTGACAAGCATCCTACTCCCTTTTCAGTCACATCCATGCAGTCACTTTTCAACATCTTGATCAAATAATAATAATAATACATAATATAATACTGTCCCCCATATTGTGATAAAAATCTATAATGTTCAACCCCTTTCACACCCTTTATGAGAGAAAGCAAATGACTGCTTATTGTCCCACCTTGGTGCAAACTGCAAGCGGAGTGTGCATATATAAACATAAAACTGCAATAGCAGACAGGTAAATAACTTGGTCAGGATTAAATTCACATGACTGAAATTGTACCAATTCTAAGCAGGCATGCCCAGAAGGCATTACAACAACCTTGAAGGAATGATGGTAAAAGTGCATATTATTTTTGACTCAGCTCTTATTTCTGAATAATTAATAAAATTTCACTCATATTTACCACATTTAAAAGAATTAAAAATATATAATTTTTAGCCTTTGACTTCATATAACAACTTTCAGTTCACTGTATTTTTATATTTTTTAAGGATCTGATAAAGAAAAAACCAGCAACATCTCAAAATTATTGATTAAATACAAGATTATGATAGGCAAATCAGTACAAAAAAGGCTTTTGAATGCCAGGTCTCTGAATAGGTGACTAAGGGTTACCTAGGGAGTAAAAGCACTAGAAAATCTTATTAAATAAAAAATTTGGTACTGCTCTGTTATCGGGACTGTATTCAGAAATGTATGAAAGTATGTGCATGTGTATGTATGTATGTGCATATATGTACACACACATATATATGTGCATACATGAACACATACATACTTTTCTGGATCTGGTCCTAATAACATAACAGTACCAAATTTTTTATTTAATAATTTTTCTAGTGCTTTTACTTAGCGAATTTTTATTCTTAGCTGAGGAACAAGGAAAAAAATCTAATCATCTTTCTCAGTGAATAGACTTTGTACTACTTAAACTTGAAACTTTAAGTGAAAGCTGCATTAATAAAATTGAAATTATGCATTTATCTTAATAATATACTAGAAAAACATACATGGATGTCCCTTTTCTATTAGACAAAAATATATTAAAGTTTAGTTAAACTGTTTCTAACAATATTCCACCTTATGTAACTCTAATCATCTCAAGTTAATTATCACAGAATACTCAAAAAGTTTCCACCTATAAAGGAATGTTCTTCACAGAAGACTACAAGAACCTAGTTCATATTTATTTTACATTATAAAACAATTACTTTTCTGCCATAAGGAGGATGCAAATATGAAGGCTTCACAACCATAACCAATCAGTCACTAATATGACTTATCTTAAATTTGTAAATTATACATAGTCACTGAAAATGCATAGCTACAATGTAGCGTTTTTATAACATTCTAATTTAATACAAATACATCTCTCAAATATTCATCTTCTTTTAAAAACTTAAGAACTTAATATTCACTTATGCTTTCATTTACCAATTAAAATATAAAAAATTAATAAATAATGTAAGGATGTTTGTGACGCTTTCAAAAAGTCTGATCAAGTATGATTTTAAGACTTGAGATGGCAAGAATAACAAGCAAACCAAATCTCCTGTTCTGCAATTCAAACTAGATGCTGAAAAAAATTCATATAACTGAACTGAGTTTTGCATAAAGATATACATACAATATATTGAAAAATAATTAATTACCTGGCAATATTTACTTCTCCCTCAATGATGCCCTGATGAATAGGATCAATCATCATTTCATGATCTTTTCCACCTATTCAATTAAAAAGACAAAAATTAAAAAATCTGACATCATGTAATAAACTGCAGAAATGTATTTAGAGTACTAGTATTAATGTACTCAACTGTTACAAAATGAATGTATGTATAATGAGGATCATAAAATAATTTCTGCATTATATCAGTATTTGTTTACCATTTATCAGCTCAACACTTTACTTCAAAGTCCTACCAAACTCGTTTTAAGATTAAAGTGACATGCTTACTTGTACAGGATTAAATCTTTCTTCTCCCCCCTTATACCTTACAATTATGGGTGAAATGGCCAGCTAAATATCAGAAGAGGCACACATCTGGCACTGCATGCTTCCCAGGGAAAGTAACAGAACAGTTGCTACCCCAAACACTTATGTTTGTCCAAGTGCGTTAGACATTCATAAGGGCGAAAGGTAATTTTTGGTAAAGAAGAGCAGGTGTTTGGGTCCCACACAATTTGTCCTAAGAAAACGAAAATCGACCCACCACATGCAATTTATTGTTTCAACAGCATAATACAGAACCACTTTTTGATTACTTGGTAACTGGAGATAAAAATGGGTCCTCTATGATAATCCAAAATGCGAAAGGCAGTGGCTTTTTCCAAATGAATTGCCTTGAAGTACTCTTAAGCCAGGTTTACATCTCAAACAGGTGCTTTTGGGTGTTTGGAGAAGTATTCACAAAATTGTTCATTTTGAAGTGCTGAAACCTGGATAAACTATGAATTCAGACCTTTACTACGAATAACTGGATTGAGTAAATCAATCTTCAATCAAAGAGTGTCTAATGATTGTTAAGAGAAAAGACATTATTCTGCAACACGACAGTGCAAGGCTGCATCACACAAGACGAATCCTGGAAAAAATTAATGGAATGGGAGATACTGCCTCATCCACCGTACTTGCCACATGTTGCACAATTGGATTTCCTTTCATTCTGATTGTTACAAAACTTTCTATTTGACAAAAAATTTGAAAATTTGGATGACATCGAAAATGCCATTTCTAGATACTTTGCTCAAAAAACAATTGCTCTTTATAGATACAGGTTAGAAAATTTGTATACTAGATGGCAAAAGACCTCTGATAATGAATGATTACATCACTGATTAAAAATAAAAACTTGTTGAAAAATCATTCGTTAATGTAAAATGACTACATTGCTTTCTGGTCCCCTTATATTTCATGCTTTTAAATTATACTCCTAAATTTCCAAAAACCTTTTTAAATCTAATCAAAAGTAAGCCAATATTTTAATTAGAGAATTCAACAAACAGACCATTAATAAGCAACTTTTGTGGTGAATGAAATATAAGATATTTCTCCCAATTTCTTAGTATGCCTTCGTGGTGTAGTGGTCAGCATGTATTCGAGAGGTCTGTGGTTCAAGTCCCAGTGAGGGCATTGCTCATTTTTCATCTCTTCTGCTTCGAAATAACCTAATGTAATTTAAATACGCTTTCAAAAAAGTCTGATCAAGTATGATTTTAAGACTTGAGATGGCAAGAATAACAAGCAAACCAAATCTCCTGTTGATAAATGAAATTTTGGTTAAGTATTGAATTTTAAAATCACTGGCAAAATCTGCTTTAAGTGAAAGCCCTTAAAATTGGATCACTGTTTCTTAGATAAAGAAAATTATTTGATAATATCACATCAATACGTAAAAATTTATTTAACAGAAATCTAGTCAGCATTTGTACAATTTTTTTTCTCTAACAGCACACACAACTGAAAAAGACAGTAAAAGCTACATGTTCAACTAGCTGGATATGTAACAGACAGTCAACTATTTCAAGATAAAGAATTTGGGTAGTCTATATTTTAGGGTACCCCTTGGATTATCAAAGTTGCTGTTTCATTTATGGTAACCTAAGTATTTTACAGCGTATGTTTTGGAAACCTTATCATGGCGTGATTGGTTGGACCCTATCATGATGTGATTTGTTATAATCTGTAATGGCAATCATTTTGATTGTTGAAAGAATATTTTTCATGGCTTATTTCTGCATTGGATATCATTTAAGAAGTGCATTACTTATTTTGTGCTTTGCAACGAAAAATACTGCCAGTGGTAAACCGGGTGTTTGGTGGTATAAACAAGGAAGCGGAAGGGGGCTGCTTTTTTTTTTTAAGTGGTTGACAACAGAAGAAAATAAACTTTGTTGGATGTAAATCAATGGAATATCTTACCTGGAGCAACAATAATCTCAGATTGAAAGGTGTACAATTGTCTTTCTGATAACAACTTTGTTCACCTCTCAGTAAATCATACAGTGACATTTAAGGATCCAGAAACCGGAGTTCATATCAATACTATTGAACGAGAACGGATTTCCGAAAGCAATGCCACCTACAGACCAGCACTATGGAAGATATTTTTGATTCTTATTTTTGTGAATTTATGTGGTGACAGCAGTATCTAGATTCTAGTTCAGATAATTTTAAACAGCTTTTGGATGCTGTTAAGGATGCCACACATCAAAGACACAGAAATTTCTAAATAAGGTAAGTCAATATTTTCTTTTTGTACTGACCAGATTAGATAATATGCATTTCCAGTTTTATGGCATTTCCTTGTTCTATTTTGATTTAAAATGCAGCTTTATTGAGATTGCAATTTTTATATGTCTTAATTATGTTTCATTGCATTATGTTTCGGATGCTATTTTACTTGGAAGGGTGTTGCATGTAGACAAAACATGTTTGGCATAAAAAAAGAATACCCTGTTTTTGCCGAGGGAGACCCTGAAATATATTTTCCCCCAAGATTTTTTTTTTTCCCTTTTAAAGCAAAATATCATTGTCATTTTCATTTAGATCACACACAATTAAAATGGATTGGCATTAGACATACCGAAGTAATTTATAATTATTTTTTTCATAAGCTCGAACATACACAAATGTCTTCTTTATTCTGTTCAATTTCCATTCCAACAAAATTATTTAACAAACATGCAGTGATTTTTTAAACTTTAAACTCAGATAGACAAGTAACTCATCAATCTCACACTGGTCAGTTCCACCAAATCATCATCCCTATAAATGACTAGAATCAATTTTTTATCATTATACTCTTGAAAGAAGGGACAGAAATCAGCAAGACTTATTTTTAGACTTTTCGATAGTCAACAAACCATTGATAACACCTTGATTTTTGAGTCCATGGAGATTCTTTTCAGTTTACAAATTCTACCCTTATTATCACCAAAACTATCTAGCTGATGCAAAAATATTTTCCCTTCAGATATACAACAAAGGAAGTTAATACCAACACTGAACAGTTTTCAATGCATATTTCCCTTCAACACAATTGTCAATACTGATTTGATAGTCTCATAATATGTACCAAGGCTATATATTTTATCATAAACAAAAGTTCTTTAAGTATAGTTTTTGGCCATTACAATTTTGCTTGGTATCATTATTGTACAGTATCATCTGTATTGTGAATCTTTTTCAAAACACATAACTTTTCATGGCATTAAGCTTCATCTCTTTTTCACCTGATGCAACAGCTTTGGCTTATGTAGCAGGAGTCAATATTATTCTTAGAAAAAATATAAGCTAGAGTAAAATAACTTGATTTCATTTAAATTAGTTCCATGTGAGTACTACCAGTATCTTAGAAACCCCATCCAGATCTGACATCACTTTTCCACCTTGAATAATTTATTGCAATAAAATTAGGCACTGTATGATTATCTTCAGATTTAAAATAAACATTACAAAATTTAATTACCTTATGGATGTAATATATATCCAATATTCATCTTCATTCACATATGACCATCCAATATTCATTTCAATCACATATCCAATATTCATTCATTCACATATGACCAGCACTTTTATTGTCATATTTATGATGAAACTATTTTGGAACGTGTGAGAAATAAATTGCTCCAAAACCACATATATGCTTACAATGAACAATCAGTCCAGAGCTCAAAAGTTATTTTATTTTAAAAGAACTGGTATGATTTAAAATGTATGCTGTTGTCTCACATGGCACACTAACTGACAGAAAGTTTAGTAATTTTGTAGAAGAAAATTCTACTGCCATTCGATTTCTTCTTTTAGCACTTATCAGCAATCTCAGCTCACATTTTCTTAGCAATGGTTTTCCTTTTTGCCATGAAGAAAAACATTAAAATTAAGTAATGAAGGTGAAAACAAATAACAAAATAGCTCTGAAAAACCAAATTCACTTCCAAAGAATTCATGCTTTCAAAGTGGGGGAAAAAATCATAAAACTTGCATTTTTTTTCCTGTTAGTATATAATAACATTTCTGTTAGTATAAAATATAGTTTTACATAATTATTACAAAAATTTTCAATTTGTTATGAATCAACTTAAAATTACATTTTACAACTATTGAATATTATTTACTTTATAAAATCTTCCTTTCCTGCAAATAAAAAAAAACTGGTAGTTTTTGGTGTTGAAATCATTAAAATAATGTAACAGGTTAACACTGATATCATGGCTAAATTTTATAAACATATTTTAAATTTATGTAATTAAATTTTTTTTATATTATACATATAAAAATACTTTGAGTTTTAACCATTACATGAAATAAAGAAAACAGTTAAGTTGCAGCTGGCATATTGAAGAAACAAACAGCATATACAGTTAAGATGAAATAAAATGTTTTCGATCTGTTTTGTAAACTGAAACTGGAATGAATAGTTTGATAAGGTTTGCCCTCTTTTATTGTTATCTCTTGTAGGACTGTTGGGATATGGTTGCTGCATTTTTCAGGATTGGCATTAAGATTAAAAGAATATCTCTACTACTACATAACCTAGAGGTTATTTCTAGAACTTTTCACATTTTTGAACCTAAATTACTGGAAACAGTACAATTTTCTTGTCAAACAAAATTTTTGTTATTTAATTTGTTCCTTTTTGTTTCTACAATAAAAGCAAGCACTTAGCACAATAGATTCTTAAAAGAAAATATGAATGATATTTTGAAACATAACTCATAAAGGTATATATATATAAAATAATTACTATTAATACAAAAAGTTTTAGACAAACATTTTTTTAATAATAGAAAGAAACATTCTTACCATCTCGCCATATAACTGTTAAAGACACTTTAACATGATCTGAATTGGCATTGTTAGGAAGATGTTGAATATTTCCTGGAATTGAAGCTAATGATGAATGAACATACGTAACAAGTCGTACTGGCAATGATTTTGACAGCAAATTGTAAAACACCCATATACTGAGTGGTGGATACTCTGGATTGGCTTTTATGACTATATCTTGAAATTTTTCCAAATGCTGAAAATATTTACATTGATAGGTAAGCATTTAAAAAATAAGAATAATGTATTTAATATATATCTTAGTGTATATATGACACATGCAATATTTGATTTACATTTACTCTAAAAATAAGGTTGCTTTTTTTTTTGGGGGGGGCTATATTGTTTCAAAATTGGGTAGGGTCTTATAATCAGGTATTTTAGATAAATGAAACTGCAGAATGAGAGAGAAGTGTTTAATTATCATGCTACATAAAAAATGTATACTGTTTAAAGACTAAATAAACTACACATATAATTACTATAAGATTGTCTTTCTCAGAATTGCAATACATATGTTCACGAATACTATGCACAGGATAATTTTAATTGCAAAAAGCGAGGGGAGTGGCTTACGTGAAACAAGCAATATACGCCAGGTAAATGAAAGTTAGTTGGCATAAATTATTTCTTTCTGAAGCTACGGTATCCCCCAGAAAATATAATGTTATATGATGCTCCTGTACCCTCCTCAAATAATAAATTCTGGCCAGGGATTTGTAGAGGATATACCGGTACTTTCACCAAACTGTTATTCTCTGAATGGTTTTTGCTGAACTTGGCTTCTTAGTCATAACATTATGACAGCAGCACTGGAGTTCAGCTGATAAGGAAGAAGGAATTCTGGTACACAAACCAGTTCCAAGACAAAACTGGGGGAGGGGGTTGTTTTTGTCACTTCAGAGCCAGTGTCTGCTTGCAGATGGCTGAAGTTGCATTGCTCGGAGAAAAAACTGATATCACAAGGAAAAGCAAAACATGTGCTTCTTCATTGTCTATATCACTATAATAGAAGAACATGTGATTGTTTTATTGGAAACTGGAAATAAAGAAACACAATCAGGCAGATGATTTGAAAATTTTGTCACTGTTTTTCTGAAGTGTGATGTCCCTTCCTAACCTCAATGTTCAACTTAAAAAGAGCACACGACCAAAAATGTAAATAAGCACAAGGTTTTTAATGTTTGTTTTACTGACATTTTGTTTAATGTAGCCTTAATGGTATCTCACTAAAAAAGTGTAATAAAAGTTCATTTCTCTGCTTCCCATGTCAAACCGCGTTAATGGCTTGTTTTCCCTTTCTAGTCTTGGCCACTGAACTAAATATGCAGTTACCAAAATGGTCGTGCTGTCACAAAACTCTTTAAAAATTCTTACAACTTAAAATTCTGTACATGTTAACAAAATTGCGCAAAAGATGAAGAAAATGGGGTGACCTACTAATCACATGAAACTCAAGAGCATCCCTCAAGGACGTCGTATGGCGAGACAACCAGAATAGAGACAAGTCAGTAACCTTCTCCCACCCAAAACGCTAATTGACATGTGCTGAAACAAGATTCCAGCCCTTCTTTACCACTTACAGCTGCAGGTTGCGGTAATTTCTTAGGCAGAAATCCCAGTTCTCCCCCCCCCTGCCATTAGCTTTCATTTAAACAGAAACATGCCATATTGTTCTCCTTCCACTATCTCACAAAACGGTCTTGGAGCCAGCTTAGAAGCAGGTGTGATTATCGCTTTGTCAACGAAGCTCTAAAATTGCCCTCAAGAAAGAAAAAGGCAACTGGACAGATGTAACTTTAGCACTTCTCTCCCCACAACTATATATACACACACACACACAAAACTTTAACATTTCGCTCAGCCCACGCTATGCTGCTTCCTTGACCTTTGTGTCAGTATGAATCACCTTTCATCTCTGCACAAACACACTTTGTTGAACCATTTTGAGATAGCCCTGCGGCGACACAAATACCTGGTAAATTCATCATTTTGAAAACAGACTCCAGAAATTTGTCATTAGTAAAGACGTGTTGCTCAAACAAGGGTTCTTGAGATGAGTGGCAAGTGTTTGTGTATTGGTGAATCAAGTATTTGAGATTGGGGAAAAAAAAAGAATTGCTTCAGCATTGGTACTTGCAGGGCTTTCCGGGGCCAACATTAAATGCCAAACACCCTGACATTGAATAGAAACTTTACGAATATGTGATTGAAAAATGGTATGTGGATATCGTGTTTCTACTGAAATGCGTCAGTTAACCACCCTCAGCTGGAGGGGCTGGCATATGGTACAATTTTAGAGGTGCGGCGTATGAAGTACGCCAGGTCGTTTTTCGAGTCTCTGCTTCGTGTTTGAAACTATTTAATCTTATACATGGCATTAATAAGGTGATTCGTCATAGTAAAATTGATATAAGAAAAAGAATAACAGAAAAAAAAGCAGTAAAGATGGAAATTACGAATTTTTAATTAATTCAAAAAGTGGAATGCACTGGAAATGTAACTTAAAATTAAAAAGTATTCTGTATTATTTTCTGTATGAAAATTATAAGATCATAAATCAAACTTACAAATTATAAATATTCTGTAAAGAAAAGTTCGGTAAGCAATAAATTTCACAAATGAAAAAATTAAAAACCTTTTGCTATTTTAATCCTCCTCAGATTGTCCCTGTTCACTGCAGCAGGATTTGCCAAGTTGTACTGTCTTGCACAGATAATTTCTGCAGGTAAACTTGGAACATTTTTTGGTAGTGTAATTATTCTTCATTCTACCGCACTCATCGCAGCGTCCTTTGATCTTTTTTGCAGTTGGTTCCACGTCCCTTTCGGCCGTCTTGTCCGCTTCTATTGTTACCAGCCTTTTAATAATAGCTTTGGAATGCGACAGGAGAAATGGCATTTTCAGACAATCTTGAAGATATTATTTCATCAAAGATGTAGTTAGATTTTTCAAAAAATATCTTCTAAACTTGATCGTTGCATCAGGCTTGGCGAAGTTCAAGAGCACTTGCGAATTTATGCCCGGTACGTTTAGCAGTGCAAAAAATATTGCCATTGTCTACCTCTTGGTTTTTCGTGCGACAGTGAAATTACTACAAATTTGTTTCTATAGTGTCAACTCCGCCTTTACATTTGTTAGAATCCAGGATTATTTGAGGTTTATTCGTTTCCTGGTCAATTTTGTCATAATCGTGTAAAGTACTGAGCAGTACTACACACTTATTTTTTTTCATTGCATATGAAACAATCGTCATATCCTTTTGAAAACCAAACAGTGAACTGCCGACTTCTTTTGTTTTTGATGGCTGGAATTCACTTGGAATTTCCTTTTTATTTTTTTTTTCAGCGTACCTACAAGTGTTATACCCTTGGTAAGAAGATATTGAGCTAGTGGGTAGCTTGTATACCAATTATTGGTCATTAGGTTATGGTTGGAACCTTCGTACGCAACAATTAGCCTTTTGACAATGTCATTACTTGAATTAGAAGCCTCGTAAGGTCCTGGGGGATGATTGCCACAGTAAACTTCAAGCTTCAATGTATAAAACGTTCGTGAGTCAACAACTGCAAAAAGTTTCATACCGTACTTTGCGGGCTTGTTGGGGATGAATTGAATAAAAGAGCATCTTCTGCGAAAGGGTTCCAACTTCTCGTCGATTGTGAGTTCGTCACCTGGTGTATAAAAGTTTTGACAGTTCTGACTGAAAGATTAAAATAATTCTATTAGTGCAGGAAGCGTATCAGTTTTTCTTTGCACATACCTTGTGTCTTTATCGTCGAATCTAATAGCAGCATACAGGTTTCTGAATCGCTTGAGACCCATGACCCCTTGCAAAATTTCAATTCCAGTACCGTCTTTTGCCCATGCTTCCTCCAAATTGAGTTTTGACATTTTTTTTTGCACACTAATAAGAATAAAATTCCTAAAAAGGCCAACATTTCTGCTCTATTAGTATCATACATGCTTCTCTTTGAGATGTTTTGGAGATCATCTGCAGTCCTGTTACATTTGAGATAAATATTTGTATATTGTACGATAGCATCAATCATACTTGTATTTATGATTTTCTGGAAAGCAGAAAGCTCATCATTTATATCGTCACAAGTTTTGGCACTTGGGCATATTTTTTTCATCAAATAGTTTTGAGACGTTCTGGTGAATTTGCTCTTGAGGGGAACTTTATTCCACTTATAAGTTTCCTTTTCTTCTTTCAAAAACTTTCCTGCAACCTTCTTCTTTTTGTAAATTGTTTTTACAAAAGAATCCTCATATTTAAGTCACTCATGTCATTTTCAATATCACTAAAATCGTCATTTGTTAGGAAAACATCAGTTGAGGAAGGAAAATGAGGATGTTTAGAGACATTTCCCTCAATTTCTGAGTCACTTTCATGATAAGAATGTTCGATGACTTCCGATTCATCAACATCAGATACGTTATCCAAACTGTCGGAGTCTTCATCAACCGAGACTTCTTCTAAAACGCGCAAATAATCTTCAGGAGGTACAATATTCTTTCTGTGCATACTTGGAGGAGCGGCGTAACGCGTTCGCCTACGCGACATGTTCACAATAACTGCTTTCAGAACACAATAACTGGACAGTTTTCGTGCACATAGGACTAATGCAATGTAAAAAATGTGCCAGCAAAAAAGGACCAATCTTGTGGTTATTCTGGGTAGGATGACATCTATGCTGCAGCCACTAGGTGTACACATTAATCGCCTATTTAAAGTAGCACTGAAAAGAATGTACACAAAATGGATGGTCATTGGAAATCAAGCACTGACACCAACTGGTCACAGCAAGAAGCCCAAAGCAACTCAAATCTGTGGATGGATCAAAGCTGCCCAGGATGGAATTTCACAAGGACTTGTTATTAAGAACTTCAAAAAGTGTAAAATATCAAACAGCATGGATGGAAGTGAGGATTTTGCATTGTGGATGATGAGGAAGAAGAGAATACCGACAGTTCGGAAAGCATCAGTAATGTCAGCAGCGCAGAAGGCAAGGAAGATTGATAATTTACATTGTGTTTCCAAATTGAAAAAAGCGGGAAGAAGTGATATGGTGTGATAAGTTAATCTGCCTTTGTTAGGTTACACATAGATTTTAAAGGACCACTCAGGACTTTTAAATCCATGTTTAGTATAATGATTGTTGCCGACTGAAGCTATTGTTTATAGAATAAATT